TTATCAAGCGTCAATCTCACTAGCTTAGAATCAATCGGCCTATCCTGGCGTCAATAGCACTGAACCAGCGTCAATTGTACGAAGCCAACATCAATCGCACTAAGCCAGAGTCAATCGCCCTAAACCAGAGTCAATCCTACGAAACCAGTGTCAATCACACTAACCCACCGTCAATCGGCCTCACCTAGCATCAATCGCACTAACCCAGAATCAATCGACCTAAACCAGGGTCAATCGCACTAATTTTGCGTCAATTATACGAAACCAGCGTCACACTAACCCACCGTCAATCGACCCCACCTAGCATCAATCGCACTAACCCAGCGTCCGCAACATAACTGGGACAGCAGTGAAAGTTGTGTTTTACCGTGGGAATCGCGGATTTTACATGTAACAGAGACAAGTGTCGTCTACTGATGAATAGTACAATATCTTAGTTTTAAACTTCCATTTGAAAGAAAGAGAGAGAAAGAGGGGGAAGGAAGGTGTGTGGGGAAACTGTCATTTTTCTTTGATGTTCCAGACTGTTGATTTGACATTTTATTCACAATCCAGCATAACGAAATAGACGTTTTCAACCGAATATAGATCCATTCTTTAGTTCTACCAGTTCAGACATTTACAGCCTGAACCACGCCATGCTACTTCCACGGAGCCGAACCGTCCTCATTTCCTCCGTGTTCCACTTCACTCTTGACTTCTTCAAGTCAAGAGTCAATCGTCAGTTTTCATCTTTAAACTCCTAACATTCACTTCCTACCGCCTCCTCTTTCTTTCATATCTTGCACTTTATTCCTCATCACCATTTTGACTGTAATCCTCTAGCTTGACTGGCTCTCGAGACATGTATTGGGTGAGATTTAGAATGAAGATTATGTTTCTGGTATTTAAAGAAACATTTGTTTTGGTTACTTCAAAAAGTTTATGGCAAAGGGAAAAACGAAAACGAAAAACGCAATTGAAACTCCGGAATTATTTTTATTATATTTTTTTGTTAGATTAATTTTCAACTTTTGAAATTGAGATTGAAATAAATAGTAGTATAAACTATTAATAGTATTTAATAATGCTTCATCTAAAAAAAGGATATATTTGAAAAAGAATACTGCCGCTAACAACAGGGGTATAAAACAATTACGACAACTAAAGAATTCGTGAACTGAAGTGAGAAATGAAAGGTTTTATTATTATTATTATAATTATTATTATTATTTTGCAACAACAATATTTTTTGTTGTTGATAAGTTAACGCAACTGGGCATTTAGTAGAATTCTCTGCAACAAAAAGCATCTGCATTTGAATCTCAGTAGGAGTTTATTTTTTATCCGAACTTTCCATTAACTGCTGTCGACTGACGTACTGATTAAAATTCTGATAAAAAAAGCAACTAAAATATTTCAAGATGAAAGTAAATAATCATCCAAGTTAAAATGAATTAAAGTTCTAATCGAATAAAACGAAACAAATAGTAATGACAATGTTAGCCGTTTCCTTATAAGGAAACATTCGACATTCATTGACCGAGTAGCTATTTTCGGTTGAGGGATTGGTTCGAAATTCCAACTAATATCACCTGAAGAACGCCGGAGCGTACGACGACCGAAACGTCGTGAATATGACAATAAAGATGAGGAGAACAGCCCGACAATATAAATAGTGTAAATACTTTGTTTCCCCACTTTTCATGTGCTTTTTCTTTGTGGACGATTTTTTAAGGCTAAATTTCAATCGCTTCAACCTTCCACAAATTTATAAATTCCACATTCTGAATTTTTATGATGGATTCAGGGTTTGGGACATAGCTAATAATGTTAATACCATTGTTTGGTCATATTAGAGACGTCATTAATATGGAAGCCATTCATGATGCCAGACTCGTTCAGAAATATCTAAAGGGTCAGCTGTTTAGAAACGCTTTCTCAGATCAATGCTTAAAAATGGCTTCGAGCTAATGAAGCCTGTTCGTCTTCACGAAAGATCACACTTCTCCAAAACTTGTAGACTGGCGCTACATAATCGCAAACAAAGAATTTTGCCAAAAAATAGAAACGATATCACTTGAGGACGTTCAACAAAAGCAACAACTGAAATCACATATAACAAAATAATGACATAATCAAGGTGTTGTCGTCCTGGGTAAGACGTTAAACTACGCCCAGCAGCAAGGCCTCTGACCAGGAGGATTTGAGTGGCGTGGAACCACTTCTTAATTGCTGGTGTACCCAGGTCCACCCTGACCCGTGGTAGTAGCACCTGTTAGGGTCCCAGCTATGGGCAAATAGTTAACTATTAACAGCAATACTTTTTTGAAAAAAATTATTACCAGCAATACAATTTTGAAGGAAATATATTACCAGCTACAGATTTTTGACAAAACAAAATATTACCAGCAGTAAAAAAAAATTTGTTGGCATTAAATAACCCACTGAGGTTGATGTGCCGTAAACAAAATAAACCAAACCAATCTAAACCAAAGAATACATCTTCTATTCATACGAATCTATCCTAAAAATGTTGTCGGCATTAAATAACCCATTGAGGTTGATATGCCGTAAAACAAAATAAACCAATCTAAACCAATCTAAACATCCTAAAATGCATTAAATAACCCATTGAGGTTGATGCCGTAAACAAAATAAACCTATTCAATGACGAATCTATCCTAAAATAAACCAAACCAATGTAAACCAAAGAATACATATTCTATTCATACAAATCTATCCTAAAAATGTTGTCGGTATTAAATAACCCATTGAGGTTGATATGCCGTAAAACGAAATAAACCTAACCAAACTAATCAAGGTTTTGATATTCCACACAACTTCAAACAAAAGTTTAGGAAGGAAACCCCCATCAATATTGGAAAGAGCGATAACAGTTATTGGACTTGAGAAACCTATTTTCTTCGAAAATTGTTTTGCTAGAAAACTTTTATGAATTTAAATAAAAAAATTTCAAATAAAATTTAATCTGTTTTTTTTCTTTCCTGTCTATATTTCTGAGATGAGGTATTTTAACTATTTACAATGTTTACATTGTTAGAACTGTTGTCCTCATCTTTATTGCCATATTCACGACGTTTCGACCGTGGTGCCTACTAAAAAAATCTGCCCGCGTTTGTTGAAGAGTTCACCCGAACAATTACCGTGAAAATATTTATAGAAAATACATGGAGAGGCAACCTTACGGCGGTGGGAAAGTGAATGAAGCCGAGACGCCAAATCAGAACTGATGATATTGCTGATTCTTTGGATTTTAGTCTAAAATATGTTTTAAATGCTGTGTAAATTTTATCTTTCTCTATGAATTGAAAGATAATTAAATTTTAATGTTATTCATTCAGCAGGGATATTGTATCCCGTTAATAATTTTCAATAAAAAAGAGTTTTTCTATTTTGTTTGAAACTGATTAATTAATTGAATATGTTCTAATAATGTGTCCGCTATAATTTGAATCTGATTAATTTGTTCATTTTACGAAATTTTAATTTATATAGATTTTAAAATTTCTTCAAATACCTCGGTTTTTGGAACAGTTGACATTTGGTACGAGAGAGATAATGAAACTGAATATACAGTAAGTTGTGATGGGAGTAGTTTTGTCTAATACCGGAAAATGCTAAAAAAAAACAAACCCAAAAAACAAAATATTGATCTCAGAACACAAGTCATGTTCATAAATAGTTTCGTCAGATCTAGACTCTCGCGTGGTTATTATGTATTGTGTCCAACTCGTTCTCTTCCTGGGTATGACGTTAAACTACATCCGGGAGCAAGGCCTCTGATCAGGAGTATGGAGGTTTTTGAGGAGCGTGGAACCACTTCTTAACTGCTGTTGTACCCAGGTGCATCCTGGGGTGGTAGAACTTATCAGGGTCTCAGGTATGGGCAAATAATGACCCCCCCCCGACAAAAAAAATAAACAATACATTTTTATAGCAAAATGACAATCAGTACAACATAAAAATACATATAAAATACAAGCAATACATATTTTTTAAAAACATTATCAACAATACATTTTTGTAGTGAAATTACCGGCAATATATTTTATGATCTACAAACTATATATCTAAAAAAAAAATACCTTTTACCCTGAAAATATGTACAAAATATTTAGATTTCGACATTAAATACCCATAGAGGTTAATATGGCGCTAAACAAAATCAACCAACCAATATGAAAGAAATCTTACCAGCAAAGCATATTCATAGTAAAATTACCAATAATACATTTTATAGCAAAAAATAGCAATACTTTTTATCTGTAGGTGAAGCCATAAAATTGTGTTCAAAATATTTAGATTTCGGCATTAAATAACCCATAGAGGTGTTGATATGCCGCTAAACAAAATCAACCAACCATCTAACTCGTTCAGAAATCGCTAAGCTATCTGCTATCTAAAAGTGTTTTTTCAGATCAAGGATTAAAAATGGCTTCAAGCGAATGAATCTTTGAATGAAGATATTAAACAAGATAATTCTTCAATCACATGCTAAAAAAAACAAAAAAAAAAAAAAACAGGCGCTATAAAATAAAAAAAGAAGTAAATAACAAAAGCACATCGTTTGAAGAGTTTCAACAAGGGCAAATAAAGATATATCCAAGATGTTGACTTCCACACTAAATTAAGCAAACATTTAGGAAGAAAACTCCCAGTAGTACTAGAAAGAACGATAACAGTGGGCTTGAGGAGACTATTTTCTTGAAAACCTTTTCAAGGGAAAGATTTTATAATTTTCTACCGACGGCAACTCTAAGACTTCGATCAATGAATGCTGAATGTTTCTTGGATGTTAATTTTACCATTGCCATGACATTGTCACCAATTTAAGTAAAGAGAGAAAAGTATTATGATAATAAACGTCAATAAAGTTAATAATAACAAGTGAATTGCAAAAATAACAGGAACGATAACTCTGAAGGGAAATAGTAAACTGGTGTCAAGTTACAAACAAATAAAAAGTCTTAATTTATATCTAAACTTTTATCAACATCATGACGGCTTATTTTTCCCTTTCTTTTCTACTTTGTCTTTCTTTTTTTTATTATTTTCTCTTTCTTTCTTTCTTTCTTTTGAGCTTATTCCTTTATTTATTGAATAATACGATTTTCTACTCGATAAATTCTTACTTTCTTAAGTTCTTTTCTAATTTTCACTTTTCTTTAACTCCCTCCTTTCCTTCACTTATCTCTTGTTTTCTTTCTTTCTTTCTTTCTTTCTTTCTTTCTTTCTTTCTTTCTTTCTTTCTTTCTTTCTTCTTCCGCTTCCTTTTTCTTTCTTTCTTTCTTTCTTTCTTTCTTTCTTTCTTTCTTTCTTTCTTTCTTTCTTCTTCCCTTCCTTTTTTCTATCTATCTTTCTTTCTTTCTTTCTTTCTTTCTTTTCTTTCTTTTCTTTCTTTCTTTCTTTCTTTCTTTTTTTTCTTCTTCCTTTTTCTATTTTCTTTCTTTCTTTCTTTCTTTCTTTCTTTCTTTCTTTCTTTCTTTCTTTCTTTCTTTCTTCTCCCGCTTCCTTTTTCTTTCTTTCTTTCTTTCTTTCTTTCTTTCTTTCTTTCTTTCTTTCTTTCTTTCTTTCGTGCTTATTCTTTATTTACTCAGTAATTCGATTTTCTACTTGAGAAACTTCTTTCGCCAATTCTTTTCTATTTTTCACTTTTTCTTTTCCTGACTCCATTCTTTCTTTCACCTCTATCTTGTTATTCTTTCTTTCTTTCTTTCTTTCTTTCTTTCTTTCTTTCTTTCTTTCTTTCCCTTTAAATTCCTTTCGCCCACTTCCTTTTCCTTTTCTTGATCCCATATTTTTCTTTCTTTTTTATCCTCTTTCTTTGCAACTGCTTTTCTCTTAACACAGTAGGTGGTGTAAGCGAGCGCGTCCTGTTTTCAATCCCCCAACATACGCCCTCTTAATATTATTCCCCCCCCCACCATATCCAACCTCCGATCCTTACAACCCTTTCACCTTCTTCATTTCGTCTACCTTTACACTACGAATGCCTTTACCCGCCCTTCACCCCCACTTCGCCTCCTTCATAACCTTTCCACACGTCATTGTTGGCATCAAGAATTCACCCGAAAGGTCACATGTCATCTTCTAAGTGTCTAAGTTGAAAGACAAGTATAAGCGAACTACTATCGATCCCCAGAAAGAAAACCATATGGGCGTCTACATTCCATTGCTGTATCATATTTGGTTCTTTAAGAGTAGCGCCTGGCGGGTCGCGACAAAAGAGAGACCGGTAAAATGTCTACATTAAAGTGATGCCGTATTAGTAGCGGTAGCAGTAGTGGTAATAGCCGCTCTGATAGTAATTATGTACGCATGTATTTTTTTTGTACGTATAAATATTTATGTCTAATGAGTCCCAAGAATTTTTTAATACTTGTACTCGCTTTTACTCTAATCATCACCTTTGCTTCTTTCCTAAGTTAGATTTGTAATGACCTATATTATTACAGTAATGCCATCAGCAAGGCTGATGCTAAACTTTAGGAGAGCAAACTCTGCACCTTCTTAGTCTAACAGACATGAAGTGGAGCGACGACATTGAATCAATAGCTGCATCTACTGCTAGGAAAGTTGATTCACTGTGTCGTGCTAGAAGTTTTTTTTTCTCGTCAGAATCTATCTTGCACATTTACAAACCTACCATTCGTCCGTGCATTGAATACTGCTGGCATATCTGGTCTGTTGTTCCTGCTGTGTATCTCGAGAGATTCTTGTCAAAATTCAAAGAAGGGTTTGTAATCTATTTACATTATTCGGACTATTGTCCTCATCTTTGTTGCCATATTTATCACAACGTTTCGGCTGTTGTCCGCTCCGGCCTTCTTCAGGTGGTTGGAATGTCAAACTGGACCCTTTATTTCGCTCGCTGGAATAGATTGTTCTAGTTCAACGTGCCATGTCTAATGGATGTTAGTTATCAGTTATCTCCTGTTAATTCCCCTCTCCAAGATCTCCACCGCCTTAAACAGGTATTGAACTCACACTCTTTGGGTCCTGTCACTGGATCTTTATCCACTGTGTCCTGTGTCCTCAAGGCCACAGCACACAGTGGATAAAGGCGTTAGTGTTCTCAAGGATAGTATGCATACCGCGAGATAGTATGCGGCCCAGGGAATAGTATGAATCCCGCGGGATAAGTATGAGGTCTGGGGAATAGTATGCATCTCGCGGGATAGTATGCGGCTCGCAGAATAGTATGCATCTCGGGGAATAGTATGTATCGCGGGGGAATAGTATGCGGCCGGGGGAATAGTATGCGGCCGGGGGAATAGTATGCATGCCACGGGATAGTATGTGGCCCGGGGGATAATATGTATCCCACGGGATAGTATGCGGCCTGCGTGATAGTATGCAGCTCGGGAGGTAGTATATATACTGCGGGATAGTATGCGGTCCGCAGGTATAATATGCAGCCCTCGGGATCGTATACGCCCCGAAAGACAGTATACGGCCCGGACAATAGTATGTATCCAACGGAATAGTATGCGGCGCGGCCAACAGTATGCATCACGCAGGATAATATGCGGCTGCGAGATCGTATACGACCCGGGCAATAGTTTGCGGCCCGCGGTATCGTATGCGGCCCGCAAGAGCACAAGAAGTTCATAAAAAGAAAATGTTGGCTTTTCTTTTGGTTACATTTTGCCCCAAGTCTTAATTTAATTAAAACAGAAAAAAAAAAAGAACAAAAACGGAAACTATATGCACTTAATATATACTTTATTTTTAAAGCGAAATTTAGAACCACTTTAATAATAATTATTAATAATAATGATACACATTTTTAAATGTGCACTCAGTTGGTACAAAAAACTACAGAAGCCGCCAATGACAAAGTAACTAGTAGAAGACATTGGTATGTAGGTAGAAAGTACGGCGTCGATTGCACAGAGAAGTGGTACGAGTATTCACCACCATCAGTAGTCGAGAATGAGCAAGTGAAGCTCATGTGTGATACGACTATCTTGACTGACAAGCGCTTGGAGAGAAATCGCCCTGATCTCAGATTTGTGCAAAAGAGCAGCCATGAATTGGCACTGATAGACATTGACGTAACTTTGAATAAAGCGAAGCAGTGAAGACGGATCAAGAAAAATCGAGGTATGAAGACCATAATAAGCTTTCCCTGTTAGTAGTGAAACATGATTTGCATACTCTATTAAAGATGTCCTTGTGTCAGTATTTAACACAACTTGAACAGACAAGGAATTGGATTAGGGGATTAAGAAATTAAACATTCGCTTGCAGAGTCATGCATTTCAGAAACCAGGGCTGGACAAACTACAACCCGTGGAATCGTATGCGGCACAATAAACATTATTTTTAAAGTTAATAAACAAAAAATAAATTGAATCCTTACTATGAAAAACACAAATTTCCCTAAGAGCAATACATGTAGTTAATATGAAATTAATTCTTCTTACATTAGTGCAGTCTGCTCACAAAATGTTTCCAATGAACAAATAAATATACAAATAACATGTTTCTTACTTATATTGACGTTGTGAAACTCGGGTTGATATTGTCATAAAACCCGATTTACGCCAAGACCGAAAATGATGCGACCCTTTTTAAATAAATAAAAAAGGTTACCCACCTCAGATCTAAAGTATATATTTAGATGGTTGCGGTCATTTTTTTCTGGTGTTGGTATGTGTACCATATATGCTGGCGTTCAAAACAACAGCGTGTATAAGACGACACACAGATTTTCAAGTTAAAATGTATGTTTCGAGTTATATTCGCTGTACAAACGACACCGCCAAAAGCCTATCTTAAAATTATAGCATTGAATTTATTAAATAAATTCAGTAAGTATATTCTTTCTTTTTAACTCAAATTCTAATTAAAAAAAAGGAAAAAAAACGGTGGAGAGATATTGTCAATTAACTTTTTTCACTTATCTATTGTTATTCTTTCTTTCTTTCTTTTTTCTTTCTTTCTTTCTTTCTTTCTTTCTTTCTTTCGTTTTTCCTTGCTTTCTTTCCCTCGCTTCCTTTTCCTTTCTTTATGCCCATTCTTTGCTTGTTTCTTTCTTTCTTTCTTTCTTTATGCCAATTCATTCATTCTTTCTTTTCCTTTCTTTATGTCCATTCTTTCTTTTTTATCTTTCTTTATGCCCATTCATTCTTTGTTTTCCTTTTATGCCCTTTCTTTCTTTCTTTCTTTCTTTCTTTCTTTCTTTCTTTCTTTCTTTCTACCTATTCTTTCTTTCTTTCTTTCTTTCTTTCTTTCTTTCTTTCTTTCTTTCTTTCTTTCTACCTATTCTTTCTTTCTATCTTTCTTTATACTATTTCTTTCTTTCTTTCTTTCTTTCTTTCTTTCTTTCTTTCTTTCTTTCTTTCAACCGCTTCCTTTTTCTTTCTTTATACAATGTACAATACCTCATGAGTTGGTGCTGTTTTTTTTGGTAGTCTATTACGGTAGCCTGAATGATTTCCCCCGCTAACCATCCACTCGTTCCACTATTCTCGAATGCGATCTTTAAACGACTTGTTGAGAAAACACATTTCTCATGTTAACTTACCATAAACCACAGGATTTAATGCTCACATTTTATATCTGGAGTATAAGACGTTCCCCTATTTTGGCTTATTTTTTCAGGTTAAAATGTCGCCTTGTACGCCAACTTATACGGTATTTTTGTGCATGTGTCTGTGTGTACGTGCTTGTGCATATACACGTATTTGACGGAAACTGGGTGCATTTTTATGTGGGTCTCTGGTTGCATGAGTTTTGCGAGTGCACACACACACACAAACAAGAATCTGAAAGAAAATATAAATGGTGGTGAAAAATGACGAGGTAAAATAGCACACACATGTACGAAGGCCGTTTAAAAGGTAATGTCTGTTCTAATTTAATTTTGAAAACCTTAGAATTCCTATTTTATTTAAAGTAGCACTTAGGTTGAGTTATATATAATTACCCTTTTGGCACCTCGACGTGGTGTAATGGTTAGCAAGCTTGCCTCTCTAGAACAATTACGATTGAAAAGTGAGTCCGATCCTCAGTAGGTGCTCCATACTTTCGGCCTTGTGCCACTTCTAAGCTACGCTTAGAAAATAATCATGTTGGTCACCTCGAGCACAACTAAGCCACGCTTAGAAAATCAACTGGGAACCTCGGCATGGTGTAATGGTTAGCAAGGTTGTCTCGCTAGAAAAATTACGACAGAGTAGTGAGTTCGATCCTCACTAGATTCCTCATGCTTTCAGCCTTGTGCCATATTTAAGCTACGCTTAAAAATCGCCATAAGCAGTTACCGTTTTTGGGAAGCAACTGTAGTCGTTGATTAAAAAACATTATAAGTGATGAACAATGGTTCACTTACGACAGGGTTCGACGCAAAGAGCAGTTGATTGACAAGGATAAATATCCACAAACGGTACCCAAAAATTGAGCACTATAGAAGAAAATTGTTGTGCGCGTGATAGTGTCGTTGTGGTATTATTCATTTAGAGCGGCGCTTCTTAAACTTTTTCATTCATGACACCGTTTTTCATGACAATATTTCCGCGGCTGTAGGTATTAACCGACTACACTGAAAATACAGACTTTGTCACGGCACTTAATTGCAACGGCGCCGCACACGCTTGCGTGGCACATCACGTTAAATGTTGTGTGTTTGGGAAATAACATATAAATTGATATTCAAGGGTTTGAATTTCATTTTTGCGATGGCAGCATTTCGCTTCACGACCCTATTTGGAGTCACGACTCCATTTGGAGTAACAACCCCATTTGGAGTCGCGACCCTATTTGGAGGTACGACCCCATTTGGAGTCACGACCCCATTTGGATCGAGACTCCATTTGGAGTCACGACCCCATTTGGAGTCACGATCCCATTTGGATCGCGACCCCATTTGGAGTAACAACCCCATTTGGAGTCGCGAACCCATTTGGAGGTACGACCCCATTTGGAGTCACGACCCCATTTGGATCGCGACCCCATTTGGAGTCACGACCCATAGTTGAAGAAGCGTTGATTTAGAGCAATGTAATGCTGAACGTATCCATACGTTTTGCCGAAAAGCGCCCTGTCCTTGTTAATAGGGAAATATTGTTCTACGAAATATTGTCAACCCAATACAGCACGCAGTAAGAATAGGACAGGAAAATCATATTTCCTTCAACTTGCGTCCACCAACTGATTATTACATTTGTAGAACATTGTAAAACGCTTTGATGAGGAAAATTTTTCAGAAAGCCAGATTCAAGAGTTTGTACAGATCTTTACTCAAAAGATATCGAAGAGCTGTCTGAAATGAGGCAACACGTCATTCAAAATAAGGATAACTGAATAAAAACTTTTTTTTTTAAGCATTACGCCCCGAGCAAGGCGTGAAGCCACTAGGATGCAGGGGGTTGCAGAAGATTTGGAGCAAGAGCAGATAGGAGTGATAGAAGAAAGGATGAGGAGAAGGATAGTGGGTAGATCAAGGTGACTGGAGGTGTCGATTGACATTACATTTGAATCGGTCACCTCGAGGCGGTGTAATGGTTAGCAAGCTTGTCTCGCTAGAACAGTTACTACTGAGTCGTGAGTTCGATCCTCACTGGGTGCCCCATACTTTCGGCCTTGTGCCACATCTAAGCTATGCTTGGAAAATCACGACATTACATTTGAATAGTTGGAGATTATAGCTCTCAAGGAAACAGTAATTAGGAAGGGTGTTCCACAGGTGAGAGGTGCGAGGTATGAAGCTTTTGGAGTAGAAGAGACGGCTACATTTAAATGTTTCTACAGTGTAAGGGTGGAAGCGGGATGCCAGCCTCGTAGGGCGCTTGAATTCATGGAGTCTGGGAACCAGTGAAAGCAGCTCATCGGAGCAATTACCATGAAAGTATTTGTAGAAAAGACAGAGAGAGGCGATGGCGCGTCTGTGAGAGAGTGACTGTAGAAGAGACGCCAGATCAGGGCCAATTATATCCGTCTCTGGATCTTGTCAAGAACTCCGAGGTAAACAGAAGGTGCTCCAGGCCATATATGGCAGCAATACTCCATGCAAGGGCGAATGGTTGATTTGTATATTTGAAGTATCGATTCCGGGGAGAAAAATTTCCTGGCTTACTGTAATTTATCTTTTGAAGAATAATGTTGATAACCAGTAAGCAGAAACTGATTATGACAACCTCACAAAAATACCGAGTAAAGTTTCCCAGGTCCTTTAGAATCATTAATGGCTGTTCAAATTTAACTTTTATTGAGTGACCTTCTCTATAATCCGCCTTCAAAATGACTGTCACTCTGGACACCAGTTGAAAGTAAAGAGCTGTCGTAGAATCTCTGTTTCTGTAAGTGAAATAGCTACAAACATTCACAGAAGGTTAGAAAATGTTTATAGAAAGGGTATATATGGGTATGGGTCAGTAAATCTAACAAGAAATCCGAGACTGTGGATATGTTTCGCTTTCCATGGATAAGTACGTGAAACGTGAGTGAAAAAGGAAAAAAGTATTTAATCTATGAGTGGAAAAGAACGGAAACCATTTTCCTATTGATGGCAACCTCAGAATGCGTTAATAGTTTAGTTGCATATTTAAAATAGGGAATATCGTTTTTTTTTTTGTTTAAAACCAAATTACTGTTATATAGGAATAAAATGTTGCTGCCGACAAATGAGTATGAACATAGATCGCCGGTTAGCAAACACGGGTGACCCCATTATTGAATTAAGTAGACCACGTGACCATTGAGGAAACTCATATGTTGGAGAGTGTGTCTAATTGATCTCCTCTATCCTCTATTACTATATGGACCGCTATTCTCTATTCTCTTCTCTATATTATTCTCTATTCGGATCAATACGATGGTTATTTTTAGAGTAAGTATAATAGAGCAAGTACTATTAGTGCGAGTGATATTCGAAGGCGTCTGACACCAGTATTGTTCAACGGCGTTACTATCGTTGTATCTGCGATTACAAAGTCTCTACTACAACGAACATTTACGAAAGTGAGGACGGGTATTCGTTGACATCACAAAAATGGCAATGACTGTTCGTTGAAATCACAAAAATTACACACTTAATTACATTGTTCCCTACTATCCGCGGAAAAATATCCGCCGCGGATAACGAGGTTCTACCTTATTTAAAGCCGACCTTTGATCTTTGAACGGGAGGTTGAAGATTTTTTTCTGTCGAATTTTTTTGTTTGAGATTTTTTATTTATTTTTTCAGTTTTTTTTTTTACTTTTGTTCTTTCTTTAATAACCTACCTAATCGCGCATTAACGTATTTTCTTTCTTTCTTTCTTTCTTTCTTTCTTTCTTTCTTTCTTTCTGTTTTGTTCACCATTACAGTTTGTCTTTGTCTCCCAACAGCTGCACCCTCCTAATACATACCACTTCACCCCCCCCAGTACTGATTTTGCACACTCTTCGTACTTAAAAGCATCAAACAACCCAATCATTTTTGCTTTCCTCGCACCCTACAACAATTTCTACCTCAAATGGCACTTATTTCCGCGATTTAACCCTGTCGGTATGCTTAGTCGACATCTCTTCATATTAATGAGGCCTCCATATGATTTACGCGTTAACAAACATTAATTTAGAGCAGAACTGCACAAAATAAGACCCCTCGGGCCGCACGCAACCCTCAAAACTACTCAGTGTGGTCCGCGAGGGGTTTGCAAAATAGTAAATTTTTGTAATCATCAGAATAAATTTGTCGTCTGATCACGTATAAAAAATTCAGTTTTGTGGAAGCAGGAATTTAAAAGGTTGCGTGCTTGTATGTATTTTATCTGTGTGTGTGTGTGTCCACATGTAAGTAATTAAAGACGTAAGCAAAAAAATAGATTTTCTACTACGGATGATTTATTCTCTTTTTATATATATAAAATGCTGTAAAACAAAGTTGTCAATGTTTCTTGGTTAGGTCCGTTCTTTTTTTTTGGTCCAGGAGGTAGGGTAAGTAAGGATAAGCATCGTATTAATGGTCCAGCTCAAGTCAGCCTTGCGCTGAGTTGGAACAACCAAAGAAAATGCTTTACTTACTTCATATGTTGAAGTTTTGGAAGCCACTTGCGTTTTCTAAGTACTGCTACATCTTAGAGCAAGGGGGAGAAAAAGGGTGAAGCAGGAATTTTTTTGTCATTTTATAGACATAAACAGCGTCATCTAACAGCGTTTGACGAAGCTAAGTGGTGTAATCATATTTCCGGTTCCTTTCCTCTTGGCAACAAAGGAAATTGTTTTTCTTTTTATTATTATTCGTTATTATTATTTTGTTTATCGATTCAGCTAATATTTGTGTTTGATTATGGAATATATCTTTTGGGGTGCATTAGTGTGTTTCCACCATCTTTTTCACTCTTAGTGAATTTCCGCCATTTCTTTTTGTAATTGTGTAGGCCTGGTTTAGAAATTCATAAATTTTGACTGTTTTTATTTTGTAACTATAAAAATGAATAACAATTTTAGATATAGCAAATGAAAATCAAGTTTTTTTTTTTCCATAATCGAATTACGAATTATTTAACCCACTAGCATTATCTTCATCACTCAAAAATTAACAAATTTTGCCAGAGGAGAGATACAAACAAGCCTTCTTCTACACCCAGTACTTTAGAGTGTTTTTTACGGCTTATCAACCTTTTACAGGTTATTTTTATTGATATTTTAAAGCCAGAAAATATTTTTAGATTGTAAGAACATTTTGGTGATAATAACGATTTACTGATACACGTCCTACTAATTAACCCATAATTGGGGGATAAGAGGTAGTTTCACACTTTTCCGTAAACGAATATAACGAACCCGACTGGAACTGGTACTAACCAATTCCGACCAGTTACCTACTACCTGCACACCCAAGGTTACAGCACCTGGTATTCATAAACGGTCACCCATCTAAGTACTGACCAGGCTCAACGTTGCTTAACTTAGGTGATCGTACAAAAAGCGGTGTTTCAACCTGATATAGCAGTAAGCCTCCAGTATTATGGGATAAGGATGAAAATGCGAAGATACTGGAAAAGAGAAGGACACGGCCACAGCCATGAGACATGGCTTAATCCTAATTATTAAATCATCTTACATTTTCATGAGATAACAGACAATCTTAGTTGGCAAGCCCCATGAGCCACTCAATATAGAAGGTAACTAAATGATTGGCCATCGATTTGAAGAGGTTTATGATTGTAGCATTCGTGGAAGCTTAAACACAGGAGTTAGTTCCACAAATTCTTTTGAAGAATGTCTCGGAGCAATATCCTCTTCTTACCAAAGGAATGCTTATATAATGTTGGGTATTCAACTCTGTGGACGTAGTAAAGCCTGTTTTATCTGTAAACGTCTGTAAGCCTGGCACTTAAGAATCGATTTTCGTCTGAACATTGGCCATGGAAATAGCGATAGGCTTGCGAAAGCCTGTGTGTGGAAAATGTCATCCCCAAACAGGCCGCCTAAAGGTTTTTGAATAAGGCTGTGAAGTGAGGCTATACGTGAAAAGTAGCTTAGTTTTGCAGGAGATCATAGTACGGGCGGTAGTTCAGGGACACTGATTGAGGATCGAACTCCCTACTCAGTACAAGTGGGATTTAAACGCCAACCTTAAAACGATAGTTAGTACTGGGTGTGTGTGTTCTTTTTTTTAATATCACTGCGGGGTATTTTGTAACACCATGCCAGACAGTTGGAACAAGAAATGGGATATTTATGACCATCATTATATGGGAGCGAGCAATAGAAATGCAGAATGGTGCACGCTTATGTTTTATAGATTAGGTACATGCATTTGACAAAGTACGGCACAAGGATCTTTTTGATCTGCTCGGAAATCTAGATCTATTTTTAAAAAGATGTTAGAATAATCTAGAAACTCGAAAATATCTTCCCTCATACGGAGAGAAAGCGAATGTAGTAGATGCACAAAAATACTTGTACAATTGTCACGGGTTTTGGTATGGGATAAGGGAGAGAATATGAAGACACTGGAAAATGGTTGGAGAAGACCAGAGGCAGGAGATAATAGATAATCTTAGTTGTCAACACTTGTGTAATTTTCATGGATTTTGGAATGGGATAAGGGAGAAGATATGAAGATACTGGAAAAAGCAGGGTGAAAAATAGATGCAGGAAATCGTAGATAATCTATGTTGTCAAAACTTGTGTAATTTTCATGGATTTTGGAATGGGGTAAGGGAGAAGATATGAAGATACTGGAAAAAGCAGGAAGAAAAAAATCAGGAGATAATAGATAATCTAATTGTCAACACTTGTGAAATTTTCATGGATTTTGGAATGAGATATGGGAGGAGATTTGAAGATACTGGAAAAAGCAGTTAGAAAAGCTGATGGAGATAACACATAGTCGTATTTGTCAATATCGGTAGTATTTCTGTAAGTGTCTTTATTTAATATAAATAGGGCTATTTCAACTACAATAACTCACATCGCAAATTACTCTTTTTTGACTTCTACTAAAACTACCAGTATTTGTGTAGCCACAATAACAGTAAGGACTAATAGTATATATTAATATGGATGTTTAAGGTTAATATTTTCTCATCGCCAGTGATTCTTCCCAGATGTGCCCCCAATAGACTTTGATGATACTTCAGTAATAATTACTTAAATAAAAGCAATATGCAAAGCAGAAAATAGAAAAAAAAAGTGAGTTTTTCTTCCAATATATACAAGACAGAGAGTTAAGTGTGGAGTCAAAGATGAAAAGAAAAAGAATAGAAAAAAAAAAGGGAATAAAAACACGCAAGGAAAGAAATAAGAAAAGCTAAAAATGAAAAATGAATCAGTCATATCGACAGATGAACAATAATGATATTGTTCTTTTATTTTTGTTATTTCTTTTTTTTTTTGCTCCTCAAGAGAGAGCAACTTATACGAACGTATAAAATGAAGCCAGCTGTCGTCTGCTTTTGTCAGTTAAAAAAAAGAAAAGAAAAAGAAAGATCCTACCGGCAGCGCATCCCCGTTGATTACCTCATCTTCAAACTTAGAGGAGCTCTTGTTGTTTGATGAACATTAAAAAAAAAAATACGGGAGGAAGAATATAAAACGAAAGCAATTAAGTGAGGAAATTCGGACTTTTAGTGGGCAAAATAAAGCTGAAAATATATATGTTATAATAGAAGGAAAGTGAGTTTACCAAGTCCAACACCGATACCTGACACTAACACATACTAACGCACGCACACATATATATATATATATATATATATATATATATATATATATGTGCGTGCGTCTATGTGTGTGTGTCCCTAGTGCGATCGGAACGTCGTCGTTTAATATTAAAATACTTTGTTAAACACTTGTCAGAATATCTATCCGATTTGGTATCAGTCAGAGCTTCTACCAGTGAACAATCTTCAGAAACAGAACGAATCAAACGTAAACAAACGCCAAGCAGCCAAAGTTGCTCCATTCATTTTATTGAAAAGCTTCGCATTTACGCAGTTGACCGTTGTTTTTAGAATTAGCTTGTCGTTCAACAGTGGTCAATTGAAAATATATTTTCAAGAGCTAAATTATGTCATTCGCAGACAGTACTGTTTCGCTGTATCACAGCTCCTCAGTGCGACTAGACAACCGGATCGAAACCCAGCCGATTTGGTATCAGTCAGAGCTTCTACCACTGAGCCATCTTCCCTCGACAGAACGAATCAGCCAAATCTAGCGCATTGTTTTTTTTTTTTTTTTTTACAAACGGAGTGCTCCATTCATTTTCACACAGTTGTTAACAGAGTTGAATTAAACCAAGAAATAGCAGTATTAAAAAGGACTCAATATACGTATAAAGAAAATAAAGATTTAACATGCAGAGCTACTAAGTTTAAAAAGTTAGGAGATCAGCCCATCAGCCTACCTTGGTTTCAACCATTTGGGCCCAAATCACCTGAAGATACCAATTTCATTTTTTTTTCGTTTCATTTCATTTTTGGGAGTGCTGTCTGATGATCCGGCGTCCTTCAAAAGGACTCTGGTGAAATAAATTATAATAATGGTACCTTAAAGTGGTCTGTTTTTCTTTTAAATATTAGCTCTGGATTTACATTGAGCTCTCAGGATTTCATCCTCCTTGGGATTACCCATACGGATTACCAAGTTCTTCATAACTTTATATATATATATATATATATATATATATATATATATATCTCCAGGTATAGGATTGGTGTTTACGGAATAAATTCCAACCCCCCCAAAAAAAAAAAAAAAAATGCTATTCTTAAAAGAGTTCTCAATACAGAGTCGAGCAAATATAATTTATTCGAAAATTATAATATAATTTATATTATAATTTTCCAATAAATTATATATATATATATATATATATATATATATATGTACGATTCATTAAATTCAACCGACAAGATTTGTTTATTTTTTATTGAATTTTCCAATTCTTCTTATTAGCTGTTCCATTCTGTTCCCCTTACCTTATCACTGGAGTCTATACAACCGAACTTAATATTAGCATTCGCTCGGCCATATCAAAAAGTCATATCTGCCTGCTCACGATATGAATATGCTGTCATTGTTAAACGGAACACTTTCCAGTTGGCTCACTACTACACACGTTAAACGTTGAAAACAGACTAAACACAAAGTTACACGGATGATAAATGTCGTGATCTAAATGGCAATAAAGCGACATCCACCGCAAACTTTCTTTAAACTTAATAACTCAAAGACAAAGGACATACTTTTATACGGACTTTTGTCTTTGTTTTAGCGTGAAGGACCAGCTTCCAAAATTTGTAAAAGTATTTTTGATACACACACACACACACACACACACACACACACACACACACACACACACACACACACACACACACACTCTCTCTCTCTCTGTCTATATATATATATATATATATATATATATATATATATATATATATATATATATATATTATTATTAGTATAAATCTTCCGCAACCCCTGCATCCTAGTGGCTTCACGCCTTGCTTAGGGCGTAATGCTTAAAAAAATATATATAGATATTTTCCTCTTGAGTATATTCATTTTTAAGGTTTGTTCTCTGTAGTTACGCAACTGGTTTTTAATTCCAGCGTTCTCCTGTTTGCAGAAACCAATTTTAAGTCGCTTAAAATGACGTCATATAAAATATGAAATTATATATATATATTGAGATTTGGAAAAACGTACATATATATACATATATATATATATATATATATATATATATACCTAGTTTTTCATAAATACATATATATATATATATATATATATATATATATATATATATATATATATATATATATATAATTAATAGAGATCTTATAAGTATAAGAAATTTTACTGCTCGGAAAACATTCGGTGTATTGATTTGCAAATAAACAAACCAATACCAAAGGGGGAAAAAAGGTATATAAAAAAAGAAAGAACCAAGAACATGTACGTTAGTCGAAAATAATCGTCCAGCATGCAAGTTCAAAGCCCAAAGAAAAAAAAACCCGGCACGGGTACGCGAAATAACTAAGTAAATAAAGTGCTCAATACAGTAAGTAGAGCAGACGTTGATAAACCTAGGGAGCCAGACAAACCTACCAAGGTTTCACTTAAGCGGATCGTCAGGGAAGGCTGGCTTAGGTGAAACCTTGGTAGGTTTGTCTGGCTCTGTAGGTTTTAACTAATTATATATATATATATATATATATATATATATATATATATATAGATAGATAGATAGATAGATAGAGAGATAGATAGATAGGTTGTTTTCCAAGTAGTTGCCGTTTGAGGGACATCGTTCTTTGCACTGCTGTTACATATGGATTTGATCTATGCGAGTGCTTTGTTGGTTGTGCTTTTTATTATTTGTGTTATGTTCTCGGTGCAACTGTAGCAGATTTGTGAGTTTTTGTTGAATATCTTTGGGGGAGTGTTTGATGGGGGAGGGGTTTTTCTATGATTTTATTGAATATTTTTCCTACGT